CTACAGTATTAATAGGACTGCAGGCCACACTATGTCAGAGACTCTGGGAGAGCCGGTGTTAGCAGCGCAGTTAAAGAAACTGAGTTGCAAATCAAGATATCTGAGGAATCACCTTGTTCCCTACATTCCCTGCTGTCCTCTCTGAGGGTCTTTCTTGTGACGCAACGGGTATTTGTTCCGCAGTTGTGCGACTAGGGTCTTTTAGCACAGCGGAACACTTTCCTGCAGAACACACTTCCCATAACTGACGAACACAGCATTTTGTCTTCTACTGAATACTGCTCAAAACATTTGCTTCTTCAGGCTTTCCCAGAGAGACAAGTCTATTCACTGACAGTATTTGGCTGGTGGTATTTTACGGCAATCTTACACGTTCGAATGCATTTTTTGCTTTAAGTTTGTAATGTTTATCGCTCTTATAAAGGTTCCATGTAAATAAAACCAAGGGGTCCCTATCTGAAATGTCACTCCTGCTGCGAATTCACTACACAGTTTAAGGCAGAGAACACTACAGTTCTCCTCCCTGCCCCAATCTGCAAACTGAAGATAATGGGATGGACTTATCTTACGGGACTGGTGGAAAGATCGCAGAAAGGATAATGTACACAGAGTGCTCAGAACACTCTGAAATGCCACATCAATGCGACGCGGAGCCAAATCAACAGAGCAACAAACAGATTTGTCTCTTGCTTTGCCAAGACCAACAGAGAGGCAGATGTAAATGCTAGAGGAAAGAGAAGGAGCCTTCTTCAGTGTCTTAAAAAAAGCATCTCGGTTTGCCCCTTCCGTCTTCTTTGATCTGACACTGGCGGCAATAAAGAGGGAGATGAGCACTTCAGCAAACATTGCTAAATACTATTGTACAGGATGGAGGCTTTCGCCTAAATGAAGGCAGCACAGCAACCCGTGATCTCAACAACATTACCAGCTGGGGACCAGCAAAACCACATTGACCAAATAAGGAAAGTGACTTCGTGCCTGAAATCCTTTCCCACTTAGCTCACTCTGCGTTTTTCTGTCATTTGTGCAATAAATGATAGGGGTCACCCTCCCCCACTTTCCCCTCACAGCTCGAATGGAATAAACTGCCTAGCGACCCGTATAATGTATAGCTGGGCTTGTGTAATCTTGGGGTGTGAGTAGGAGGTAGAGGAGAGAGAGAGAGAATTATATTTGCAGAGACCAATCCTACACAGAATCATGGAAGGGATCCCCAAGGGTCTAGCCCCCTGCAATGCAGGAATCTCAGCTAAAGCATCCAGGACAGATGGCCATCCAACCTCTGCTTAAAAACCTCCAAGGAAGGAAAGTCCGCAACTTCCTGAGGGAGACCATTCCACTGTCAAAACAGCTCCTACTGTCAGGAAGATCTCAGAATCTCCTCTCTTGTAAGTTGAAGCCGTTGGTGCGAGTCTTGCCCTCCAGAGCAGGAGAGAACAAGCTTGTTCCATCTTCCATGTAACAGCCCTTGAAATATCTGAAGATGGCTATCATAGCTCCTCTCACTCTTCTCTTTTCCATGTAAAACATACCCAACACCCTCAACTGTCCTGTCCCTCATAGGGCTTGATTTCCAGGCCCTTGATCATTTTGGTCGCCCTCCTCTGCACACGTTCCAGCTTGCCAATATCCTTCTTAAATTTTGGCGCCCAGAACTGGACCCAATATTCCAGGTGTGGTCTGATCAGGGCTGGATAGAATGGTAATAGAGACACTGGACTGCTGATGCAGCCTAGAATAACATTAGCTATTGTTGTTGCTGCAACACACAGTTGACTCATATTAAGCTTCTGGTCCACTAAGACCCCAAGATCCTTTTCATGCGTCTTACGAGTAAGCCAGGTGTCCCCCATCACAGATGCTTGTAACATTCCAAAGCTATTTAAACTTGCTCCATGACATTTTCATTCCACAGGACAGTTACATAACCAACACAGTAAAAGGTTCTTATTTTCTGCAAATGAAGTTCTTCCTGAAATCCTTTAGCTCCTCTGTATTAAGACTTCCAAAAATGTCAGAAATTGTTTTATTTTACTGTCCCTGTGTGTGTTTATTGAAATTAATATTTCTAAGTTGATGTTTTTAAACATCCTTCCCAAAATAGCAGAGCAACTATAGAGTATCTATTAAATATTATGGGGTGAGGATTCTAAGAATGGAAAGCTGGAGAGAGCCGCGGGGCTATGAAAATCCTGGGAACGCAAGCTGTTTATATCGCTGAAAAAGTTTCGTAACTTGGAGGGTTTCCTCCTCCGTTTTGGAAACCACATCAGAACCGTTCACCCAGACACTGTTGACTTCCCACGAACTTCAGCATCACTCGAACAGCATTCTAAACAATAATTTAATGCCGGCCTATGCTTCTGTCAAAATGCCGGATTCATTCACAGCTACTTTGCAAACCTCTCACCTCCAATGAACATGTCACTTTTATTTTACAGCAAAAAGGGCATCTCTGTGGTGTGGAGAGATGTATAACCTGCCCCATAACTCAGGGAGGGGCAGATGCAGACACACACCCCCACCTTGAACACACTGGAATAATCCAGGGTTTCCCAAACTTGGCTCTCCAGCTGCTTTTGGACTACAGTTCCCATCATCCCTGACCACTGGTCCTGCTAGCTAGCGATGATGGGAGTTGTAGTCCAAAAATAGCTGGAAGCTCAAGTGTGGAAAACTCCGGCGCAATCTAATACACAATAACAGGCGGCTTCCAATGCTTGTTCACATTCAGAGACGTACTGCAGAGATTTATAATATTCATAGTAGTTGGGTCCAGGCTATCATATCATGACTTAATAAACCAAGCAGTGTACGTCCACATGCAGCCACTTCGCTCTACATAAGCAGAGATACACGTTCAGGAAGTCACAGTCCGCTTTAAAACATGGCTTCATGTCCTGGCGAATCTTCTGGCGAACCAGAATCTGATCGGCAAGTCCTAGGCTCTGTGGTTTAACCCACAGCGCCACCCGCGTCCCAAATTAAGAACATAATACAGCATTAAACATTAAAAACTTCCCTAAACAGGGCTGCCTGTCTGTTAAAAGTAGGACAGTTGCTTATTTCCTTGACATCTGATGGGAGGGCGTTTCACAGGGCAGGCGCCACTACCGAGAAGGCCCTTTGCCTGGTTAGAAGTGGCTGCCTGCAGATGAAAAATCATAGTTCATATCTAGAGAAGGTATCTTACATCAAGATATCTCACAACAATGGGCATTAATTAAAGACTGTTGCTGTTTCCTTTACTTCGCTGATTTCCCCCTGAAACACCAAGTGGGAACATAACATCATAATTTTTTTATTTTTTGATGAGGGTGTCCTTGTGTGGACGCTGGGGAAAAACTTGTATATATGAGCAGCACCAAGTCGACCATAAACTGCGCTCCCAGTGATGAGTATTCATGGCTTCATCATGCAGTACAGTTTAGCTGTGGGGCTGATTAATTTGTTTTGGAATACTTATATCCTGTTTTATAGTCCCGAGAGGCTCTGAAAGCAGCTTACAAGTGATGTTTACAACAACAAAAATCACATTAAGTCTAGTACCAGGGACAGAAACCACAAAATGAAGCAGTGACCGTGAATAACAATATTCAGAAACAACTTACTTTTGCTGCACCTATTTGTTCCTTGCGAAATTTCTCCAGTGGGGCTATTAAAACATCATTAGCATTCTGGATCTGAAATACATGTGAAAAAATATGCATCAGTTTGGAATACGACATTTTTAATAATAATAATAATAATAATATTTTTTTATTTATACCCCGCCCTCCCCAGCCAAGGCCGGGCTCAGAGCAGCTTACAAGCAATAATAAAAACAAGATGAATGATTACAACTTAAAAACAAAAATGAAATGCAACATTAAAATAATGGAACATTAAAATATTAAAATGTAGCCTCATCGCAGGAGGAGAAGGAAAAGAAAAAGAGAGAGAGAGGGAGGGAGGGAATCAAATTGGCTCCAAGCCAAAGGCCAGGCGGAACAACTCTGTCTTACAGGCCCTGCGGAAAGAAATCAGATCCTGCAGGGCCCTGGTCTCATGAGGCAGAGCGTTCCACCAGGCGGAGCCAGAGTTGAAAAGGCCCTGGCTCTGGTTGAAGCCAATCTAACTTCCTTAGGGCCTGGGACCACTAGGGTGTTGTTATTTATGGACCTTGAGGCTCTCCGTGGGGCATACCAGGAGAGGCGGTCCCGTAGGTATGAGGGTCCTAGGCCGTGAAGGGCTTTAAAGGTCAAAAGCAGCACCTTAAACCTGACCCTGTACTCCACTGGGAGCCAGTGCAGCTGGAAAAGCACTGGGTGAATATGCTCCCATGGCAGAGACCCCGTGAGGAGACTCGCTGCAGCATTCTGTACCCGCTGGAGTTTCTGGGACAGCTTCAAGGACAGCCCCACGTAGAGCGAATTACAGTAGTCAAGCCTGGAGATGACCATCGCATGGATCACTGTGGCCAGGTCGGGGCGGGAAAGGTAAGGGACCAACTGCTTGATGCGGCGAAGGTGGAAAAATGTCGCCTTGGCTGTTGCTGTAACTTGCGCCTCCATGGAAAGGGAGGCGTCAAGGATTACACCCAAACTCTTAACGGAAGGCAATGGCACTAATTGGGCCCCCGCAAGAGAAGGGAGTTGGTCCCCATCCCCATGCCATCCCGACCTAGCCATAGGACCTCTGTCTTCGAAGGATTTAGTTTCAATCGGCTCCCACGAAACCATCCAACCACAGCTTCCAAGCATCTGGTCAGTGTGTTCGGGGCTGAGTCGGTGTGGCCATCCATCAGCAGATAGAGCTGAGTGTCATCAGCATATTGGTGACAGCCCAGCCCAAAGCTCCGGATAATCTGGGCAAGGGGGCGCATAAAGATTTTTAGCCAACTATAATTCCGATTCACCAACTTCTCAGACGAGAAGTGGCAAAATTCCTGAAATAATTCATAGAATTGGAAAGGACCTTGAGGACCATCTAGTCCAACCCACAACAATGCAGAAATCTATTGTCCAGTGTGGGGTTCGAACCCAGAACCCTGAGATTAAGAATCTTACACTCTACTGACTGAACTATTCTACTGACTATTGAGTCAGCTATTTCCGAAGAGCAAGCTGTATATGAAGACACCGGCTAAATTATGATTAAGTCTGTAACCTTCCACAGGCTTAGTAGAGCGTAAGGCTGGATTTAGACACATCAAAGAAGCATTTCAGTTAAACGCGTTGCAAACTTTGTATGACAAATCGGGCTAGCAAAAACGGAACTCCACAGCGCCATCTGGTGTCACAGTGTCAGAATGCATAAACAACGCATATAAAGCACTTTTTCTTTGCCAATGTAGCTGAATCCTAAGACTCAATGGATTCAGCTGGATTGATTTCTGAATAAATAAACATTAAGTATCCCAGGAACCTCTGCTTTCTTTGTTCTCACCTTTAAATGTTAAAGGACTAGAACCTTTGCTTTATGACGCATAAAGCAAGATACTAGCCCTCATGGCACCAAAATAGGCTTTGCTAATATGTGGATAAACAACCATCTCTTAACCTTTTGGCATATATATATATATATATATATATATATATATAGTTGGTAACAAACACTCACAGCTGAAAGTATATCTGACTAAATCAGCATGACAAATCAGTCTACTGGAAATCGATGGACTTAAGTTACCATATTTACACAAATCTAATACATCATCAAATCTATGAGCACCCTAATTTTCTTGACGAAATTTGGCCAAAAAAGGTGTGCATTACATTCGAGCAAATACGGTAGTTGTGTCTATTTATTTCATTGGCTCTTCTCTAAGTATAACTTAGATGGAAGCACAAGAAGATAAAAGTTTTTACTTGGGGCCTCAAAGACAGAAGAGTAGGTTGTGGAAAAAATGTATTTCCATACAGCATCCACGCTGAAAAGGCCCTAACCTTGGTTTAAACTCTGAAGCAAGCCAAAAATGAAGAATTTGGGGAAAAGATTGTCCTTTACTCCTTCCCATGTTTAACACTAGTAGAATCTCACCAACACACATATAATTAACACAAGTTGCAAAATCAAGCTTTTCCTGATATTGATTTTGGTTTAGCTTGGTGCAGAATACATACATATATATATATATATGCGCATAAAGTATACCCAGATGCCTGTTTAAAATATATTGCACTGCATATTCACTAAGAACTTGTTTTATAAAAAAATATGATTTCTGGCCAACTGCTATGATTGTTCCCACTACATTTATTACTAGCAATCTCTCTAGATAGGAAATCTAAATAGTCATTCCATCTGTCCCCAAAATTCCCCATTTGTGAGATTGAAGCTGGGTTCATTGTGGTTGTAGTTGTTTGGTTTAAAGCATATAAATATTTAAAGAGAAGAAGCATCATTATACTTAAGACTCCCAGAACTGCAGTTGTTTTAGAGTAATTAAGTTTTTAGTGTTTGAGCAGTGATGTATTTCAGTGCTAATTGTGGGATACAAGGGCAAGACGACTGTCTGGAGCAAAGTTTATTTTTTTTTTAAAAAAATAATTTTTATTAAAGTTTTAAACAAAGAAAAAACGAAAAAACAACACACACAGAAAAACAATACAAAATTTAACAATAAAAACACAAAACATAACAATTAAAAACAAACTCTCTTTTCCATTCCCAATTTTAGATTACTTATTTTCTGGACTTCCTCATACCTCCCTCTTTTGTATTCCAATCTACATTATTTGTCCAGCAGTTTCTTTTCCACTTTTTTAAACCCAATCTTTAATTTAATAAAATATTAAAATATATAGCTTCAACTTTTTTAAACATAATCCTTGTTCTTAATGTCATATACCTTTATATTTTTCCCTTTTATTATCAAATTTCCATTTCTTTAAACATCTTTAATCTTGATCTTTAATCTTAATCTATCCTTAACTTTAACCTGTACAGCTGGAAACCACTTATTTTCAATCCAACATCGCTCTAACATTCCTTAATTTTGCAGTGTTTCTGAAGATAGTCTTTGAATTTCTTCCAGTCTTCCTCCATCGACTCTTCCCCTTCACGGATTCTGCCAGTCATTTCCGCCAATTCCATATAGTCCATAAGTTTCATCTGCCATTCCTCCAGCGTGGGAAGTTCTTGTGTCTTCCAATACTTTGCGATGAGTATTCTTGCTGCTGTTGTTGCATACATAAAAAAAGTTCTATCCTTTTTTAACACCATTTGGCCCACTATGCCCAGGAGAAAGGCCTCTGGTTTCTTGGGGAAGGTATACTTAAATACCTTTTTTAATTCATTATATATCATTTCCCAGAATGGAGCAAAGTTTAATACAGCTATTCTCCCCGCCTCACCCACAAATAATTTGAATTTGGTGGGTAATTTTTATCTGTTATAATTGCCTTCTACTTAACATACCAAATGAACTGTTGGAGATATTTTGATAGCTGGTGCTTAAAGCTGTCGGTTGAACTGGGGGAAAAGAGGCTAACATGTCAGTCATTACTCTTAAAATCAATTACCATCAGAGTACCTTGTCCATATGGAACAAGAACGACACACACAAACACCGTCAATGAGACCTCTCTGCAATAGGTTTCACGACCATGCTTTACAACTTACTTGTAACACTCAGTATTATATAGCAAAAGCAAACCCTGAAAAGATATACTACAAATTAGGGATGGGGAGGAATCTGTTCTCGTTTTTGCACTGGGCGAACCCAGTGTGATGCTTCCAAACTTGCTTGCGGACTGGAAGACAACTCTCCGATTACGCCCTTCTACGGATTGCAATTCATGGCATGCAAAAAACATACAAAACTATAAATTTCACATAAGGGATAAAGTACAAAATGCATAGTTTGTGGGGGAATGCATTGAAAAGCATGTATTTTATGTAAAGAAGTACATGCAAACACATGTACAATTTAAATGTGAGCTTATTTGTGCATCCTTTTCCAAAAATACGTGCAAAAGGTGAACCTATAATCAAGCACCAGATAGGCAGCTTGGTCTAACCCTACTACAATTCCCTGAAGAGCTCCAGCAGTGGTTCTTGGGAACTATTTTCAGCCACGCTATTCCTCCTCATCAGTAATGTGCAAAAACCTCCCTACTACAGCCACAGGGATTTCCAGCTTACCAGAAAGTTAACATTGCATATTCAGGGCATTTCTCTGCACAAGTAGATATGTAATTTTCCCAAAGCAGGATTTTCTAAGTGAGTAAGTTTGGATTCTGAAATGGGAACACGTCAGTCCCTCCTCAAAGTGCTGACTGGTCTGTTGTTTCACCATCTGTCAGATTCTTACTCAGAAGACCAGACTATAAAAACACCCTAATAACTAATTGTGAAACAATGCTCTCTCTCGCTGTTCTCTGTTGCTTCGTCCCGCTCCCCAAACACACGCAAATCCAGGATCGATATTTAGAAACTTGTTGGTTTATTCAAACCGTGTACCGGTACTTTGGAAACAGCAACTTCTGGGGAGATCAATTGTATCCTTACTGATAATTTACACATAGACATTGTGGCACAGCCGACTTTTTACCACAAAATTACAACACCTAATGAAGACAGCAGAGAAATCGGTGCTCCACTAGATTTAAAGGCCCAAGATAAAGAAGCAAAATCAAAATGTGCTCGATATCGTGGAATATCATTAAAGGTTGGGCAGAAGAATAGGACTAACTTTGGCAGGTGCCTAAAATCATGTCAAGCACACAAACAAAAATAAAACTATACCAACAAAAAGAAATGTGGCCAAGTTAGATAGAGTTCAATAATTTGGGTAGTGCCATGGGAAAGGCCCTTTCTCCAATTGCTACTTGCCCAAAGGTAAGGTCACCCGAAGAATTTGTCTGATGTACGGTGGTACCTTGGTTTTCGAGCATCTCAGAAGCCAATGTTTTGGTTTATGAACACCGAAAACCCGGAAGTAAATGCTTTTTGGAAGCTGAATCATTTCCGCTGTGTTTTTCTCAATTTTCTCAATTGAAATTGCTGACCGCTCTTTGCACCTTGGTTGTCAAACGTTTCGGAAGTCGAATTGACAACCGAGGTACCACTGCCAAGGAGGTTCATGGGGTTTCAGGCATGGTTGACTTGGGTTTAGTATGCCTTCCATTCCTCTTCTATACCAAAGGGTGTGTGTGGATTACTCAAAAGCTGCAATAAAAGCTCTCTACTACACCACAGAAATGAATGAATACAGAAATGAATGCTGTGTTTCCCGTAGAACACAGATTTAAAATGACAGAGATTATTAAATTTGATACCCTAGAAAAATAAGTTGGCACGTTCTGGTACCTCCATCGAGATCTGGAACTCAGCAAACACAAGAGATCCCAAAATGCTAATGTCACAAGAGGAGGTTTTGGTTTATGAGGTCATCTTAACAAGGAAAAACACACAAGCGTTCCCAGGCACCCAAATGCTGGCTCTCAAAAATTACTAAGAAAAGCCTGTAATAAGTACCTTATGTTGTTGGTCACTGATTCTCCACCCCGCTCCCCGATTCCAGCCTTTCCACAAGCGGTACAAGCCAAATCTTCATGCGGTGCGTACGTCAGGAATTCATAGAAAAGGGGAACTGTGGCCACAATTGTTCCTCCTTGTGAGGTCGACGTGCAAGGTGAACAAACACATTTAATTGCATTTTTATTTTTATTTTTTTAGAAATGTTAACAGCCTGAAGTAAACAAAATACAAACATGGGTTGGGTTTTCTTTTTCAGCAAGTCAACTGAAGCAGAATAGCATCATAGGGAAGTGTTTCAGGATATAATGGCTGACTAGATAAATAGAAGGGGAAGAAATGGAGGCAGTGAGAGATTTTACTTTCTTGGGCTCCATGATCACTGTAGATGGTGACAGCAGCCACGAAATTAAAAGACGCCTGCTTCTTGGGAGAAAAGCAATGACAAACCTAGACAGCATCTTAAAAAGCAGAGACATTACCTTACCAACAAAGGTATGTAGTTAAAGCTATGGTTTTCCCAGTAGTGATGTATGGAAGTGAGAGCTGGACCATAAAGAAGGCTGATCGCCGAAGAATTGATGCTTTTGAATTATGGTGCTGGAGGAGACTCT